GCTCTGTCCCCAGACCTTTTTTAAATTTTTATTTTGAGATAAGTCCTGCTAAATTGCTAAATTGTTCAAGCTAGCTTCAATTTGGGACCCTCCTGCTTCAGCCTGTGGGAGTGCTGGGATTATAGGCTCGTGCTATCAGGCCCAGCTTTATTTTATGTTTTTGCTGAGCTGGGCATGGCACATATCCGACATACGCTCTATTGCTGGGCTCCATGCCTGGCTCTCAGGGGGGATTTAATGCTTGGGATGCTACTGAAGAGGAGAGGGTGTGTTGTCTAGGTATCCTAGGATCCTCCATCCTCAATGGGAAAGTGTTCAGAGATATTATTTTTTCCAGTTTTCAGTTGTCAATAAAATGAAACAGCATCTAGAAATCCGACGGCACTGACCTCCGTCAGGCCCCCTCTCCCGCGGTGGTCTTCCCACGGCATGCGCTCACAGGTGGCCTGGACCCCAGATCCACACAGACGGGGTCCGACAAAGGTGTGTAGGGAGGGAGGAAGGGCCGGCCCTGCTGTCTTGTGAGTAAGCAGTTTATGTCCTGCTGGCTGCAGCCTGCTGTGGCGTAAGGACTATTTCTAGTGATTGAACGCAAATGTCTCTAACAGACCGCATTTCGTCATTACTTGTTAGCCAAAGAGTATTGTTAACACGTAACTGCAACTCCTATAAAGTCCACACATATGGGTATGTTAAACTCATTCCCTTCCAGAATCTCACCTCCTCCAAGGGCCTGTGATGCCTCTCAAAGCTGCCTTCTGCAGCCATTTCTCATGTCTGTGAAGAAGATTCACGAGTTCATGTTGTTTGCCTCCAGTGCATAAAGCAGAGTTCCTGCTCTGGGACAAATTATGGCACATGAATTGCATCCAGGTCATTTTATGCCTGTTGGAGAACCGCAGATTTAAGACAGAATGCAAGCCGGGTGTCGTGGTTTATGCTTGTAATCCTAGCACTCTTGGAGGCTGAGGCAGGAGGACCACAAGTTCAAGTGCAGGCTGGGCAATTTATTGTTTTTTGTTTTTTTCCGGTACCAGGATTCAAACTCACAACCTTGCGCTTGCCAGGCAGGCGCTGTGCTGCTGAGCTAAATCCCCAGCCCCAAGGCTGGGCAATTTAATGACTTAGCAGGACCCTGTCTTGAAAGAAAAACGAAAGAGGGCAGGGCCAGGGATATAGCGCAGCGGCACAGGTACTGCCTGGCAACACAAGGTCCTGAGTTTGATTCCCAATACCAAAAAAAAAAAAAAAAAAAGAAGAAGAAGGGGCTGGGGATGTAACTTAGTGTGAAGGCCTTGGGTTCAAACTTTGGTACTGAAAAAAAAGGAGAGAATAAATTTCTAGTATCATATTTGGCTCCTTTCCCTGGTAAACATGAAGGAGGGAGACCCAGATCCAATCCAAGTTTCCTGAGATGCAAAGAAATTCAGTGTCTAGATGTGACATTTCTCAGACTGTGTAATAACACATTACAATAGTGGCACATCATAATAAATGGTATCTAATAATGTCATAATGGTAACCCATCATTGAAACAAACTCGGGAAAACGTAGAGTGGAGATCTCCAGCCCTGGCTTCTGAGAATGAGTCACAAACTCCATTCTCAATTCCAAGCAATCGCTACTCCTGACGTTTATACACAAATAAGCTCTACCAACTGCATTACATCTTCAATCCATATTCAAAGTTATTAAATATTGAACACCATTTAATACATACAACCAAGTTAATCAAGACTTCGATTGGTGGTTGAAGCTTCATGAAAAGCTTGTTGAAAGTCTTTTCCTACTGGGCTGCACTCTGGACCTATTTTTAAGGGAGGTAGAGGGGCAGTGTGTGGGGGCGGGAACTGTGTGTTGCTGGTTCCAACCAAGCAGTGCAAGACACCACGGCATCCAGGAAGGAGTTTTGAACAAGTGTGGGTTCAAGTTCAAGTTCAAGTTCTGCTGTTTACTGGTTATGTGACTTTACCTGGTAAATTACCGTTCATTCATGTATTGATTGGTGCTGGAGATTGAACCCAGGGCCTTTGCGCTGAGCTACATCTCTGACACCCCTTTTATTTATTTATTTTTGAGACAGAGTCCCACTAAATTGCCCATGCTGGGCTCAAATTTGGATTTCTCTTGCCTCAGCCTCCCAGAGTGCTGGGATTATAGGCATGCACAGATTGGACAATTTGGGGAGACCCAGTTTCCAGACAAAAAAATAAAAGGGGTTAAGATGCAGCTAAGTTAGCCTCCTGGACCCTTAGTTCCCCCTTTGTAAGCAGGGAACACTGTCTGCTACACAGGATTGCTGTGAGGTTTAAATGCCATCATTTGTCTATCTGGTGAATAAACTAGATACTTTGCATATCCTTTTGTTGAGACAAAGTCCTGCTATGTAGTTCAGAATGGTCTTAAACTCACTCTGTAGCCCAGGCTGGCCTCAAACTCATGGTGACCCTCTTGCCACAGCCTCCTGAGTGCTGGGATTACAGGTGTGCCCCACCCTGGCCGGCTTCCCTTGCATACAAGGCAGGGCCATACAATAGGCTTTGTAGCAGATCTGAAGGTTAACAGGACAGGGCTCTAAAGACCTTAGGTCCTGGCCAGAGACAGACACTTCAGCCAGGCACTCCGATGCATGTTGATCGGCCTAAAGTTTAGAACACCCCATGAGTTCTGGAATCTTTCCTGCAGTCAGTAAACCCCAGGCTTCCCTGTGAGTCCTCTGCAGCTTTGAGCACGGCTCTGCAGAAGAAGGAGGGAGAGATGGTCCCCAGTACAGAAAGGCAAGGAGGGAGGGAGAGGGAGGGACCCCTTTGCTTTCCCCCAAGGGAAGGGATACGGCTTCCTGGGTCCCTGGAGCTGGGCCTCCTGCCCAACTGCTGTCCTGGCAGAAGTGCACACGGGGTGGGAATGACCTCACTGGTGGTCACAGAGCCGATAAGGGGAGGAGGCAGAGTTTGGACCTGGATACCCGCTCCTGGGCCCATCTTGGTCACCTCTCTGTGCTCTTCTTTTTATTGTGTATCTCCTTGCCCCATCCGAACTCAGGTTTGTTCTTGCTTTGTTTTGCTTTTGCTTTTTTTCTGCTGTGGAGCCCAGGCTGGCCTTAAACTCATGATCCTCCTGCTTCAGCCTCCTGAGTGCTGGGATCACAGATTTGCACCACCATACTTGGCTGGAATGTAAACATTTTCATAGCAGGATTTATACTTGAATGTGTGTGTGTGTGTGTGTGTGTGTGTGTGTGTGTTTTGCTGGGGATTGAACCCAGGTCAAGGTAGACTTTCATCTCAGATTATGCCCTTAGGTGAGTACCATGGATTAAGATATTATAACTTCCCAAAAAAGATGGGTAACATGGCACAACCTGTAATCCCAGCACTTTGGGTGGATGAGGCGGGATGGCTGAAAGTTCGAGCACAGCCTGGGCAATTTAGTGAGACGGTCTCAAGTAAAAAGTAGAAGGGCTGGGGGATGTAGCTCAGTGGTAGGGCGCCCCTGGGTTCCACCCACAGTACCAGAATAATAAAACAGACAAAGCAGCCTTGCAGCTGGATTGGACATGAAAAGGAAAAGGACGTGTAAGGTGGTGTCCCCAGAGCGCAGGCTCTGGGGCTGGCGAGTGAGTGATGGCGCTCGGGCTCCAGCATGACCCTGTGCTGACTCTCAGAGATTTGCTAAAAGTGTTCCTGGCTCTGTCAGGACATGTGTCCTTGGAGGCTTGCCATCTGGGTGTGGAAGGTGCAGCTTTATAGATCCATGTGGCTTTTTAGAGCATGGCAGCGGACCAGGCCATCCCCAGCGCGGCCGCGACACAGGTGGGGGCGGGGTGGGCTGCTCTGAGATGGGCTGGCAGGAAGGCCCAGCCCCACTCCAGGAAGCATACATGGAAGGATGGCATGACGGGAGTCGGAGCTTCTAACCCAAAGAGAAATGTCAGGGTAAAGCTATACAAACTCCACCTGTGTAATATTAATCGCTAACAGTTGCCAAGGGCCATTATGTGCCTAGAGCTGGCCTTTGGTGCATTATTTGGTTTAATTCTCACAGAGCTCACAGTACTGTTACTGTTCCCATTTCACAGATAAGGAAACTGAGGCTAGAGGTTAGCAAGTGGTGGAACTTGGCATCTATGATATCCACTGCTGCGGAGAAGCCCTAAACAGTATCTAATTCAGCCCCTTCCTGCTCAGGTGGGCAACGGCGTGCCAGCCTGACTGCTGTGAAGGGCTGCAGGAAGGTTTGCCCCAGCCAAGGTTAGGCTGCGGTTAAAGAGGCGGCTAGGTACTGAATTTAAGGGGGCGCTCACTCTCAGGTGTGGAAGCTGCCCTTGCACGGCCTTGACAGTGGGTGCCCCCTTAAATTCTGCCCCCATAAGAGCCCCCCTCATGTGGGTAGGCCGGAGTGAGTACACCCCTCTTGCTAGGAGAGGTGCAGGGGTGCAGAGCTGGTGGGCAGGCATTCTTTCTGGCCGGGGCCCCTTCCTCCCGGGAGTGCTGCAGGCATCCCCGGGCCGAAGGTGCCCTGCTGCCTCAAGCTCTGGGCCCCTGCACAGCCCGTCCAGGGCCCTGGGCGGCCGGAGTTTCGGCCCTGCCTCTGGAGAGGCCTCGGCAAGGCAGGCTCCTTGCTCTCTGGGCCTCAGTTTTCCCCTCCCGCCAGATGTCACTCGGCCCGGCTTGGCCTTGATGTTCCGAGTTCTTTGCTCAATGCCTCGAATGCAGCCCAGACGTTTCCAGGAGGCCCGCCGTCCAGCCCTGGCCTGTCCCTCCCTGTCTCCGGCCTGTTAAAGGGCCGCGGTCTCCTGGGACCCTCGCGGGACCCCACCCCATCCCGCTTGGACGCGGAGTGGGCACGCAGGGGGAGCAGAGACGCGAGGAGGTGAAAAGGAGAGGGAGCCAGAAGAGAGAAACAGAGAACCGAGGGAGCGGAGAGACCGGGCGGGGGAGGGGAGAAGGGGCGCCGGAGAGGGGTGAATCAGAGAAAAAGCAATCCGAAGGAGAGCTAAAGGGAGACACAGCGAGAAGAGCGCGCGCGCGGAGCAGGGTCTGAAAGGGCCGGGGAGAGCGGGGAGGAGAGCGGGTGCGGGCGGCGCGCGGGGGGAGGGCGG